GGAATCTTTCGTTAGTCTCGTTTATCAAAGAGATTTTTTTTCGGAATGATGTACATGGTGAGTTGCAGTGAGTGTATATCTACCTCTTCCATTGTGCCAGGCCACAGCATAACTGCAAATTCACAAAACACCAATACCAATTCCCAAAATACTAACAATAACATCAAAAAGCTGTAACCAAAAGATTAACCCAAGTCCAAAGCTGGGTTATAATCGGTTATAAGTGGTAAATACCAAAAGCATATCAGCTGATCTGTGACGTCACAACTTCCCCTACTTTGGTAAAAACCGCGACAGCGGAAATACATTGGTTAAAACCAAATAACAATCATTCCAGGCTGAAAATCGCCTTTAATGAATATTTCAAAATCTATCAACTTTAGAGAAAAGTTTTTAATACAAAAGTTTCGAGGTTCTTTCTTCTCTACAAAATGGCGTCATTGTTATCTTCACACTGCTGCTAGTTGCATTTTTCTTTACATCTCGGAAACGAAATAAAAATAATAAATAGTCCTGTGAACTTACCTCCAATGGTTTACTAAAATCTGCCATTTTTGTTTAATTTAACCGATATCGTACCTCCTGTTTCGGAGATAGCAATAGTGGTATCACTTGAAACCAGTTAATTTTGCATCTGTGAGTATGTCTGAACATTTCTCTCTCAGATCTCTTACATTAGTTAAACCAGACATACTTTTTCAATGGTTAATTATATGTATTATGAGGTTTATAGGTTAAAGTATTTTCTTTCAGTTTAGTACTATTCCTATTCTTGTCGCCAGTTTAGTACTTTCGCCTGGTCTGGGGCCCCGCGGGGCCCCCAAGATCACGGGGCACCCCCGCCACTGGCAAATTGGTCACATGCATGAGTCACGTTAAATTCACGGGAGCATATTTTAAATTTAGGATCGATTTGCATTTTATGGTTGACGTGGATTCTTTGTTTCTTTTTCTTCTTTTTTTTTTGTTTCGTTTAATAAAAAATAGATGGTTCATACCTCTAGTAGGAATGCAGCGGAAGGCTGATTTTTCATGTACACATCATGTTTTCTTAAAAGCCAAGACGACATCGAAAATTGAACTTCAATGTGCGGATGATGACGTTGTGATGGCCAATACATAGGAAAATCTTCAGGTAATTATCAGTGCATTCAAGGAGAATCGGCTTAGAGGTCAACTTTCGCAAGACGTAGACTCTGCATCAACCCGCACCGGAAACTAATCCCCAAGCCCCAAATATAACTATAAATGACCATTCTTTGCACATGCAGAACATAAAACACTACGCATACGTTGGCAGCCATTTGTTAGCGAATACAACCATTGACGTTGATATCCAGCATCGCTTGAAGTGTACTAGCGCGGCTTTCGTGCGACTTCTAGAGAGAGTCTTTAACAATCACGACATCAGCTATGAGACCAAACTTCGCGTCTTCCACCACAGATTCTTGACACTCAATTGAAATCGAGTAGGCAACAACGATGCTACAAAGGAAAATATGGTAAAGTGCCGCATCGATACCAGGAAGACGACGGCAAATGATAGGCCCTCATGGCGTCGAGTAGCCCACGACGGACCATAAACTTTTGAAGAACAGCGACGCAGACACGAGAGCGAAAATAGAGACCGCAGGAAGAAGCGACAGAACAGAGGAAGAGACAAAATGCTGCCAGAGGCTGGATGTGCCAAGACTGTGAAGGAGTGTATCGCTCCATAATTATTGGTTTATATTCCCATCAGAAAATGAACAATCAACAACAATAAGAATAGAATACAAGATAATCATACTCGATATCGAGTGATCGCCTATGAAGGGGATGATTTTTCCTTTCATGTCTTTTTGAATGTAGATAGATATTTTCAACTTTGCGGTTGTCTACTCTGAATTAGTTCTATTTTCAAGGGATCATCGATTTCGCGCGTACCTGTCTTTTTCCTAAAGCTTCATTAGCTGCGTTGAGATTGTTATTTTCTGGGGTCCTCCATTGCGCGTCTATGCTTTCTTCGCTGTTGATTGGGTTTAGTGTTATCTTTCTCTATAAAACTGTTTCAAATTATCGTTTTCCAAGGATTCAATATTATATTTGTATAATGTAATGTGGTTTAGGTTTTGATGTGATTTTTTTTTTTTTTTTTTTTTTTTACGGATATGCGCACTCGCAAGGAAATGCCCTATCACGCTCGAGAAGCGGCAAGTGCGCGGAAATGTCGGTGTATGTTGGTCTTGAAACGGTTCAGGTTGTAACCTGCAGGGAAAACCGTCGCAGGGAGTTTATTCCACAGCGATGCTGTTCTCCAGAGATATGAATTTTGATATAATGAGGTTCTTGGTGCCTCTAGTTTGACAGTAAATTCATGGTTACCGTCTGTTTGACGGGTTCGCCTGGTAGGCGCTACTCTCGGTGGAATCATACGTGCCAACTATTCAGAGCATTTTCCGTGATAGTACCTGTAGAAGAGAGATAAATCGCCCACAGATCTGCGATGTTCGAGACCATCCAAGTTACGAGTAAGTGCGGGGTCATTGATCAGCTTGATAGCTCGTTTTTGCACGGTGTTCAAAAGCATTAAGGTATGTTTGGGTGCTGCACTCCATATATGTGAGCAGTACTCCATAGTTGGTCGAATCTGGGCTTTGTAGAGTGTCAGCAATTGGCTTGGTGTATACAGATGTCTTGTACGAAATAGCACCCCCAGCTTTTGGGACGCCCTTTTAGCAATATCTGCCACGTGACTGTGCCAAGACATGTTGGTCTCTGCAGTAACCCCCAAGATGTTCAACTGACTCTGTAATATGACAGCACTTCCAGATAGCATGATGTTTGGCTCACCGGTGCTGGTCTTTTTTGAAAACAGAGCTGCTTGGGTTTTCTGCGCGTTGAACTGTACAAGGTTTTTGTTACCCCAGTCCTCTATTATCTCCAGGTCGTTATTTATCTGCGATATTTGAGTTAGTCTAAGATGATGGAATTCACGTGCGGAAAGACCATCATGTGATGGGCATGATTAAGATCATTTGGCAGTTTCTGCCCACATTTGGTTTCTTTAAGTGATCCCACATCCAGTATGAACCTGGAGAAGTAATTGCGATATAATACATCACAGGTTGCTGCCCTCTCATGGATTCTAATGTACATACATACTTAATTTATATTGTGTTCGAATTTTCTCTATTATTTGTTTTTTTGTCGACGTCTTTTTTCCAACCTCACGTGCCTTGCTTATATCGGGTGCGTATATACTTTCGTTTTCGGTTTTTAGTGTGACTTGCAATATTTTCTCGTTGATATATTTTTTGTTTTCTATATTCTGTTTATATTCTTTGTATATGAGTAAGTAGGCATAATTCGGAATGTTCTCTCTTATCTCGTGCAACTTCGTAAATTTGTTGAAAATGTACCTAAATGAATTTCAGAATAGTTTCGAGGTCACCCTCAACCCTATGGATTTACATGTTTAATGGTTTGTAAGAATTTGACTCTATATGTTATACAGGGTGGGCCAATGGAAACTTCCACCCCGATTTATTGGATTTGGAATAAAATTCTGGAAAAACGCGCGGACGCGTTAATTTTTGATTTGAGTGGGAATTATTTTTCAGTTTTTTTCATCCCCGTAACTTTCACCCCCTAGTTGGGGGGGGGGGGAACAACCCCCCAAATTTGAACATGGGATAAAGGTCGTGTCATACCTATTTTTAAAGGTCCCATCAAGCTCTTTATGACCCTGGAATTAGATCTTATCATTTCCTCCATAACGAAATGACAGCTTGTCAAAATCTTGGAAATAGACTATTGTTTTAGTAGGGCTAAAAGCAATACTTACCTCCCTTGATAAAAATACTTGAAATTGAAGTTTTTTTCATCAGTATTATTAATTAGGTAGGTGTAAACGGGAACTGTAAATTGTATAAGTATTTTTATTAACAGGCTGACTACCGACCACTCCGTTCGGAGTTTACTGGCACCAATCGGCGACACCAACTACTCCGATCGGCGTGTTGTGCATGCTCAATTTGTGAGTCTAATGACACGACCCCTATCCCCTATTCGAATTTGGGGGGTTGTTCTCCCCGAAGCTAGGGGGTTGAAGCTACGGGGATGAAAAAATATTTCCCCCTCAAATCAAAAATCGACGTGTTCGAGCGTTTTTCCAGATTTTCATTTCAAATCGAAAAAATCGAGGTGGAACGTTTCCATTGCCCCACCCTGTGTAGACAGTTTGTTACAGTTTGGGTTCCACATCCTCGCGAAGATTTTATAGTAAGTTGAAGATTCTGTATTGACACCATAGGTTAGACTGTGTTATAGCTCAGAAAACAGTCTCCAGGAGCTTCAGAATACCCCTGCTTATTATGAAATTGAAAAACTTGATACTTTTCAAAAAACCCGCAAATTAGAAATGACGATTTTGCTAAGCTCCATATACATAGCGAGTTTTTTGTAACCGATTTTAGCTAAACTTCAGTTTAAATCTGCTTTGAAAGATCTATAAAACGGGTACCCGCAACACGATCACTTTCTTTGGGGTGCGAATTCACAAACAGAAGAAAAATTTTGCCTCTCGAAAAACTCAACCGACAGCTTCAATTTATGATCGTAATAACTCCGTAATACCTCGTAATCACGAAATGAGCCGATCCATCATTCCGTTTTTGCCAGCCCTTCCTGTGTTTTTTAATAATAGGTAAAATAAAAAAAATTATAATTTGCACAACATACTTCTAGATAATAAAATTATGTTGAAGGAGTGCTATTTCCCCTGCAGTGTATGTGATTACTACTTACTAGTTGTTAGAAAATTCCCGACAATATAAATCTTAAGTTGCAGTTATTACCAATAAATATCAATTAGTTCTCCATAGTATAGCACCTGTAATAAATAAATTACTTAAGATAACGTTATAAATAGATAGCTATTACATGAGAAGTTTTAAGTACGGAAAGCTGTAGGTGAAAATATATTGATTTTCCTAAATAAAACAGCATATTTTTTTATATAATAATAATCTTTATTATAAAAAAATGTATTTACAATTTTTACACAATGACATAGTACGTACGAGTTACAAAATAAACTATTTATGGAAAAATATAAATAAGTAAAAATTTTGACAACAAAAATAATATAAATTAAACTTAACTTATGAAGAAAATGACTACTCAACGTTTACGTAGCCAAATCAAACAAAAAATGTTTAGCAACAAAAAGATGGTCGTTTTATTCAATGTTTTATAAAAGATAAACTATTTTATTTTAACTTAATCATAAACTTGTAGCTGAAATAACATTTGCAGTATGTAATTAATCAATAAATAACATTATTAATTAATCAGTTATTGGAAATTCCCTGCACCAATATTATGGAAAATAACTTTTAAATGACTAAATTATGAGCTTTGTGATTTTCGAGATATACTTAAAGTGTTGATTGAAAATTGAAATTAATGTAATCAAGAAGAACTAAATATCTATTTACAATAAAAAATCATCACGGTTTGATTATTTCAATGCAATCATTTAAAAATATTTTCCAAAAAATTCTGTATTTATGGGGATCTTATATGTATATCAAGTCACGTTAAAACATTATCACAAAATAAACAAAAGTATCTTTTAAATTTAAACTCAACTGTATAGATAATTGAGTCAGGTTACATAATTACGTAAATTTGAGAAATAACTATTTACAAGACTCCAAGACACAAGATCTGAAAAAACACTTTCGTTTTTGGTAAAGAAAAAAATCTAAACAATTTTTAGAATAATTCGTCAATGCAAAGGCATTCTACTACGACATTTAATAATTATCCATTTTTTATTTGCAGAATTACTAAAACCTATTAAAATTAAGCCTCTATCACTTGTCTAATAATGGACGAATATAACTATAACCTAGAAAGTACATTGTACAAGCAAAAAATGGACTCTACATCACTGAAACAGTTTTTTTTTTCTTCTCGAGATATCAGACTTCAAACAGATTTATCCTTTTTTTGTAGGTCCATTTGGTTTACCTGTAACAAACGAAACAGTTTTAAAATTATGTTTCTATGTTTATTAATTGATTATTAAAATACGTCAATTTATCCAACCATGCTCCTTCTAAGACCTAGTTTCATGAGCAATAACGATTTAATCAAAATCCTCTACTAGTGGCGTATTTTTATTAACCCGCAAAAGTCTATTCGAGTTTATACTGGGAATCATTTTATGCATTAAATCATTTTAATAACACAGTGTTTTTTCCCTCCTCACGCCGATATTAGTTTAATCAAAAAACAAATACTTTCAAATAATCTTCCAAGTCATATTTTGCATTTGGTAAGGAGATGAAATTCCATTCATTTTTTTTTCTTGATGGGATTATTGAAATAATTTACCGTGAGGATTTGATTCGTTTGTTTATGAATTTGAACAAAACTTGGATTTGGAAATTGTTTTATTATCATATGTATTAGTTTCTGCTGAATCAACTAATCATGAACACTAGACGACAAACACACATGTTGCCATATTATAATGGATTGAGGCAAAACTGTGCTCTTAAGTTTTCAAGACGTCTACTTACAAATACTTTGATCGAAAAAATTAGGAACCCGCCAAAACTGAAGAATATGCAAAGCCATTCCACAATCCGCCCCCAGCTTTATTCCTATAGCCTCCCGAATTTCGGACGTAATTTCCCGTTCCGAAATTAAAAATTAAAATTTCCATCAAAATGCGATCCGCGTGCATCTTGCCGGGCGCAATTTTCTCCCAAATTAAATCCCGAAACAAAAGAAGAGCGTTCCGCGTCGGGACAACGTATAATTATTCGCGGACAGTAGTTGGCCGTGCAATCAGCCGGCTACCGTCCTGCGGCCGCTATCCAAATTAATTGGCCCATCAGGATGCTCTATGCTATAATGTAGGGTGTTATTTCAACACCAGTGTCGTAGCATCATATAGATCCGATGATAAAAATAAGAGAGACTTACCGATAATACAGAAACAAGGAATAAACAATATCGACCAGTGACGACAATGTTTAAGTGTAGAACCATCCAAATGCCAGGGTATATTTTAATGAAGAAGTATAGATTTTATCTCTATACCTATAATACATATTATATAGGCTCCTATATATTGCTTTGAAAAACCAACCATGTTTGAAATGCGCTGCCTGTCACTGGCTGTCATTTATGCTCAGTTATACTCTGACAATTCGTCATGGCTAGGAGCACGTGTCAGGACAAGGAAAATTAGAAAATAGACGCTCTTTTGTTAAAAATTAACGTCGAATCGTTGAACATCGCGAAATAGATTTTACTCTTCACGATGATAATCCCAAGAAGACATCGAAATACAAACAGTGTACAGGACATTGCTGCTGTAAGAAACGGTGCTGCAGAGGTCCTGAACTTATCGATTTCTCGTCGTGCTCAAGAATTAGGGATTAGACGAACGACGTTTCACTGAATTCAAAATTTATTACTTTTTTAGAACTAAAATTGCGGTCTCAGAAAAATGGAGTAGGTGGTAATTAACCTCAGCAGTGATGGTTGCAGCGCTTGGAAGTAGTTCACAATAAATATGATAATGCTGCGTTGTCCCACCAATAACTACCTACCCAAAAGCTCGCGCTCTTAAATTTGATCACAGCCTTTTAAAAAGGAAAACTAAACAATTAGCCGATATAAATATCCTTAATTTTACCTTTACATTAGATCGTATTCCATGAGTTGTAGGAATATATCCCACTCTTTTTTAAAAATCAAGCTATTGACAAAATTTGTCAATGCTATAACAGGTGTAACTTTAAAGCCACCTCGACAACTCGACAACAGATATTTTAGTTAAAAACTTGCTGCGTTCTTTAAGAAGAAGAAAGTGTGGCGTAGTTCTATCCGGATCCATCAGAACTAAAAATGTATCCAAAAGTGACCTGACTGGAGTGCAAAGCCATGAAGATAATAGGCCGAAAGGGCAGTGTAACGCAATACATAATAATTTCTTTGGATATGAATTTGATTCTTGACTAATACGTTCATCAGGAAGACATCTAAAAGTACGCGAATTTTAGCCCAGTGGAAACTTTAAGCGAGACTTTGAGAGTTTTCGTTATTACCCGACGTGTACAAAGGATATCAGACCGATAGAAGACCGAAAAGTAAAATCCATTGGAGTAGGCAGACAAGAACAGGATGATATCGAAGCAAGTGGCCATCGACGCGCAGGCCAAAGACACATAAAAATGATGTGATCCAAGGCACCGCCGACTAGATTATGGTGTAGAAAGGTTTGAGGTCAGAAGAGAAAGGACCCTATCACGCCAAGGTAGTTGGGAAAAGCACGAAGATCCCTCTTAACACCACAGAAGAGTGCAGGGATTTGATCAAGTCCCTGGAGGGCGAGAAGAAGCCGTACTTCACATACCAGCTTTAGACACAGATGAAGTGGTACGCGGAATCCGTGGATTATCAATTGATACATATTGCAAAAATTGTAGCAGAATTGAGAAGCCGGAATTAAGGAGATTAGAGCGTCAGCCGATGATGCCGTTATTCCTTGACAAGAGGCTGATGTTCGACTAAAGAGGAAAATCATATTCGGACAGCCATATTGATTTTGCCGATGCCAGGTATTTGGGCACACACAAGCCAAATGCACGTTCCCTGAGACGTGCGTAAAGTACCCAAGAACCCACAGGTTCAGTTTCTGCACATTCCCGAAGGCCACCAAAGAGACAGAATGTGTTTGATATATCCATGCCGCTTTCCTCTCAACAAGAGGAAGCCCACCGAAGATGTCAAGAAGATGATAAAAGAGCCTTTCTCCTAGACATTTCCGTTGAATGAGGAGATCGGGACAAGAGAGTCCAATAGCTCCAAAGCTCATGCTTCACAGGATACGTCAGACGTAAGACAGTTCCTTGCTTTTATTTTTCGATTTCGAAGAACATCTGTCTGGAACTTCAAGCTTCAAAATTCAGGAGAACCATTACAATGATATTATTTTGCTTCGTCAACTGAAGCATACCCTGCCTTAAATATTTACCAAACTAGTAATTCCCTTTAGGAGCAGAAGTCTTAAGCCAAGTAATTTACAGCAATTCCACAATTAAAAGAGAATCAATAAATCTCTAGATATCATTAAAGTGGTACTATCGGTACTTGCGTTTATACTAGACCGAATTTATTCGCCGCTACTGCATTCACAAGACGTAAAGTGACGCCTGAAGATCCGGACGAGAAGGAATTCCTAAAATAATAAGTTGCCGCTGCGATCGGCTTATCTTAAGGCCTCGCCGTGGGTTATTCTACTCGCCTAATCGGTAATTGTAGTTTTGCATGCCTAGCCTCCTTCATTGGAGCACTCGAGCAGGGGAGCAGCCTTCTTAATTAATATAAATCGTTCCTAAGTACGACTTGGCTTGTTCTGATGTGTGTTAACTAGCGCTCAACTGTTGTAACGGAATGACTAAATTAGTCTGTACTTAATCTAGGTGGGTCTACTTGCCAATTGATTATATGCCCAGGAGTCAGATTCTTCGATTTTTATTTTTTAACCATATATAGTCGTTGTGGACTTATTTTCAAATATGAAAGTCTGACGTATCATGAAAAATTTAGAAGAAAAATATAGTTTTTGTAATTAGAAATGCACTTCACTCTCTAGGAGTGTTAGGGTTGTGCTGTAGACCCCAGCTGGTCAATGATATTGAGGCAACAACACAGCAACAAAAATGCCAACTTTGGAACTTTGTCATAATTTTTGGAAAATTATTCGCAAACTAGAAAGACTTGAAAATGCCAGATGACACCGCTGCAGTCGAAAGTGATGTATTGACCAACAGAAAGAATATAGGCCAGGACATTTCGAGCCGATAAGAAATCATAAAAATAACCCTACTACTCGAGATAGAATCAGATCAATGCAACAACAAAAGTAGGTACCTATAGTCAATAGCATGACTGCAAATAGGCCTGCAAATAAATCTGACAAAGACCAAAGCCGTGAATTATCATATATCAAGCATTTTCCACACCCGCGATCTTCACAGCTCACGCCAAACTTCTAATTCACATGAAAAGTGCAATTTTTGAAACATACTATCCTGGGAAACATAGCTTTTGACTATTTTTTTAGAAAGGTATTGATGAAATAAAATTTGTATTGAGATGAAAAGATTTGATTTGAATATAAGCCTAAAGGGTCTAATTTTAAGAGCGCTTAGTATTATGTTTTTTTAAAAAAAAAGAATACCGATTAGATGTCGATCAAAATTATGAGCTGTAGAGTCTATTTTGAATATCTTAACGATTCGTGATCGATTAAATCAAATTTAGTATGCAAAATTTAATTTAGATCCGCATATGAGAATTTTTTTAAATAAGTTTCGTGCTTTGAAAAATTTAGAGAAGCTATACCTGTAATTACCTAAGTAATTTTAAAACTTTGGAAGTTTTTATAACTATTTTAAATACCTTACCTGTGTGCAGGAATAAGTGATTCTTGAGATTCGTATGCTTTGAAAATCCTCTCGAACAAATGTGACATTTGAACGGCCAGGATCCAGAGTGAACGTACATGTGCGACCTCAAGTCACCTGGTGTTGGAAAAGATTTACTGCAGAGGTTACATTTATGTGGTTTATCCTGAAACAAACGAAAATAGCATTAATAAAAAAATATTTATTGCAACGCATTAAAATGTTCTAAACTTAATGGGGGAACGAAAAAATCATTTCCTCTGAGATAGCATCGAAGTTAATGATCAAAACCATGTTAAATATTTTTAACGCGATTAAGATCCGGTATAGATCTAGATGTGTGGTAAAATTTACCGGAAATTTGCTTGGCCTATTGCTCTACACAGTATTATTTGGTCCTTATAGGCCAGTCAATGAGGCTTCGGAATTAACAATAATTACAAACAATGTGAAATTTAGGATTTACGTTTTGTATGACAGAAAAATGAACTATAAAAATTTGCACCTACTAAAAATTAAACAATTATTAATTGCTTCTTCCCAAAAATTGCTAACAAAGTGCAAATTTACGAAAACGAGACGACTGATATTCCAAATCTTGTATTAATTTTGCACCTTTTTTCATTAAGCGGAACACAATGAAAAATTATTTATTGTTAAAAAATGTGCTTCATATAGGGGTGCAAACTCGAAGTAAGGGATGAAATAATATTTAGAATTGCTGTTGTGATTTGCACCCTGTTTGTAATTTTCTCGATGTCAATAATAATTATTGTAAAAAACAAAAATCAGAAAAAAAAACGCCTCCGCTTAATATTTTTGGGTGCAAATGTTGCATAACATTCTGGCAATCAATTTGAACATTTGCACCTAGTTTTTGAATTGTTAGCAATTTTCCCTCCAAATAATGGTATTTTTTCACATATGATAATGCAAATCGCTCATTTCCGGAGGAGATTGAAAGGTGCAAATTTATACAATTATTTGTTTGGCATGTACGGTGCATCATCCTAATTTGCACCTTGTTAGCATTTTTTCCGAAAACTATATATTACTTTTCAACAATAAATATTGTTTTATTGTGTTCCGCGTAATGAAAATAGGTGCAAAATTAATACAAGATTTGGAAGATCAGTCGTCGCGTTTTTGTAAATTTGCACTTTGTTAGCAATTTTTGAGAAGAAGTAATTAATAATTGTTTAGTTTTTACAAAAAAAATAATGTTCCGCACGTCACTGGAAGGTGCAAATTTTTATAGTTCATTTTTTTTGTCATGCAAAACGTAAATCCTGAATTTCACATTGTTTGCAATTATTGTTAATTCCGAAGCCTCATTGACTGGCCTATTAGTCGGTTCTCACAGCATACTCGTGCGTGCTTGTTTGGTTTGATAAAGAAATCTGTTTATAAAAGGTGACGATTTCTTCCTAAATATTTGATTGCAGTTATTATAACGTTTAAACAGATGTTAACAATAATTGACTTCTTTGAATAAATATTTGATTGATTGATTAATACCTATAATACCTATCAATGAAAATAAATCATAAAAAAAGATGCAGATGCTGCACTCAAAATGTTTTTCATAGCTTTAACTGGCACACAAACGATTCTTAACATGTTAATCAGGAGAAGATTTAACGTAAACGTTAACGCATCCATAACCTTAAAATTTTTGTATCACATCTCCGTCGTTTTCATACTTAACCTCAAAATAGTGGCGACCACATGGTAAAACTTTTTTTCGAGATTCACAAGAAAGAACAAACTTTCAGCCCAGAAGAAGTTTGGTTACCTGCCATTGACATTTGACCCATGCATCTGATTCAGTGGGGATATATTACCGATAGGAATACCGCGAGAACGCCTAAATGCTACGGTATTGCGGCATCTATATCGCTGCTGCACATGCGCAATACGATACCGATGCAGATACCAATTAAAAAATGCGGAAGCCTTATGTCTCTAGTAAGAACCATAAAGATCGTTATCCGTTACAGAATAAGATCCTCAGAACGCCGATAGAGATAGAGATGTTGATTGCTCTTGGTTACAAAGTCCCAGACCAAGGGCTGTACTCTGTATTGGATAGCGATCGTTATCGCATTTGTTATCATCTTCTCTCTTAACGAATTCAATAGAGAGGGGGCGCGGAAAGGAATGTTGACGCTACAGAGCCCGAGTCCTGTTTCGAAATTTACGTCAACCTTGTTGTGTTGCCAAATGTAACAAATATCTTTGAAATTTGATTGATACAGAATTGATGAAGTTCAACTATTATTCAATTTTTTTTTATTAGCAAATACTTTCGAAAAACGCTTGTTTCAAGATAGCAAAAAGAGATAATTCAAATTCAAAAAAAAAAAAACAATTGAAGTTTGGTATATTAATACATAAGTATCGTAGTTCGAGCTTGCAACATTGCAAATGGAAATTTTGATTTCTTAGTGAACGTAGGCTAGTATAACGAACCAAATACCTTCCGAAGGTGGAACTAATTTGATTTCGTTGCCAAGAACAAAAACCAACACATGATTAATTTACGGGGTGTCTTTTTTAATTATTTTTTCAGTCAAGGAGGCGTTTCTAATTTATGGAAAAAAAAATGCCTTTACTAAAACGCTTTTTGGACCTGGAAGCGCTTGTTGAACGATAAAACAATTTAATTATGGGATTTATGGCCTTGGCAGTGTTTACGTTCATCCGATGGGTATACAATCAAAAAGCAACAGAAATTATATTCTTTTCAAATAGATACCGAACGGTTCAGTGCATTTTGCCTCAACATTGTTAAAACTGTAGGATTTGCTGACCCGTGTCGAAGAGAACGAGTTAAGATCCTTGAAGAAGTTCTCACATAAATTTGGTTCAGTTTTGATTAAAAATGCATTACATTAGACTTAGTGAGTCGCTATGAAAAGCAATGAAAGTGCAAGTTGTATTGTCTGATAGCTTGCCCGTCTTTTCAAATATTTTTGGTTACATTAAATTTTTTAATAAAACATAAGCAAATTGTGGCCCTTCAAACGGTTTCTTTATCGCCCGATACAGTAGGTAGCTTTATAGGTTGTACGATGTTTATTTACCTCGAAGTAGCATATTAGCTATACCTACTCGGTTAAGTTGCAAATTTCAATCGAGTAAACAATAACTGTTCGACAATAACTTTTGACTTCTTAACAGCAAAATTGTATGACAGCTCATTCGATAAAAACACGAAAATCGACGAATATTGGTTAACGTTATGGGAATTTTGTAACTTAAATAGGGTATAGTATAGTTATATCGCTTACTAGATGAGATTTCCAACGTTTCACACGATGTATGTAATAGCCAAGAAGAAGTTTGTGTGAAGCATGTTACTGCAAGGTAAATAAAATCTAATTAGTGCCGTCATCATGGCGCCGAAGTACACACACATTCATTTTTTCCATTGCTCAAGGCATGAAGGATGACCACTACACGTCCGGTTTGCCAGAGCAGCGATCTCTTCAATTCAGTGGGTGTATTCAAGAATATTTGCATTGCTCGTATTGGTTGATACGATAAATGACTGTCACAGTAAACTATACGAAATATATAGGTATATCACCTTATTTTGAACCAAAATTGCCTATATTCAAATCTACACTTCACCAACATATAAATGCGTCAAATGGACTGAATCTCGGGTGCGTATATCGATATACCATTTTGGCTTCTCTCGTTCGACTATTCCATATAATAACATAAATATAATTCTTAATTTTTTTTCTTTATTATTAATTGCCAAATTATTTGCGAATGTTACAAGTTGAAGAATTTCTAAAGTAGGTAGGCATTTTAGTTATTGCTATGGAACACTTTTATGACTACTTTTAAGAGGTTGTTTAATCTCTCTTGTCGAAAATTATTAGGGAAAAAACCAAAACCTGGAATGTAAAAAGACCTTAGCTAACAAGAAAGAAAGTCATAATTCAATGTTAACGTCTTTTCGCAGACAAAACAAACGTGATGTTATACATATCTTGAGAGAACAGAATTGGGCAGGAGTGTATAATATTGAATTACAAGATTTGAGTAACCCGAAGTAACCAATAAAACACTTTTATGACTATTTTTAAGAGGTTGTTTAATCTCTCTCGTCGAAAATTATTAGGGAAACCTGAGGTACTTACAGCTACTTGCTTTTCCTGCTATGCTCATAAACGCCTTCATTATTTTGTGTTTTTTTTAACAACCGTGTGACTTTTGTTTCAATCTTTGCTCATATGTTCTGGTATTTATTCTCCTTTGCTGTTTCACAATTTTTTCCATGTTCTTCTAATAATGCATCTATTTCATTATCTGTTTTCGTATATCTCATGTTGTTTACCATGGCGTTTGTTTTTTGTTGTTTATGTCTTTAATTTTTCACAACACTGTTCCGATCGCAATGCACTGCAGGACAGGGACTTTAGGTCTTAAAGATTGAGATACCAAAGCCAACTTTCAACTTCTAATGGATGCGGTATTCTCAGCTGGATATCGCGCTGATATTGATCAGCACTGGTCGAAACTTGTGCTAGTAGCCTGCCAAAAATGAACGGGCCTTATGACAAGGAAACATCACAATTGATTTGCCGAGAATACAACGAAACTCAGAACGTCATAGATCAGGGGAAGAAAACCTAAATTATCTAGAAGAGCGACCCAGATTCAGCTCACAAAGAAAAAAACATGTTTTCAAGCTACAGCTGGAGTACAGCAACAATGCTGAAAAATAAACAATGAACCACGAAATAAATCGAATTAGAACATCAGAGCAGACTTCAGCGCAAAAACGCAACCTATGGTCCTTCTACAACTGGTCCAAATCTCCTTGGATCTAGAGATAGGATTCAACTACTCATGGATCTATCTTCTAGCTTCCGAGTTCCGATGGAAGGGGTATTATCAGAAACTACCAAATAAAGAGTCCCACGTAGATGATCACGTCTTCAACAAACATTAGAGAGTACCACTTGCCAAAAAATAAATAAAAATTATTCCGTTTCGTACCCAATGGCCTTATCAAAGCTACAATCTCCCTAACCATATTTCTTGTATATCACCGTCCTAAACTATTTCGTTACATTTTTCGGATTTTTCCATTGTATTTTCTAATCCTAACTCGTTCTTATATTTCACATAATCATATTGCCAAAA